ACTCAGCCAAGAAATGGAGGTCACTGCAGACTGGGGTTCTTGTCCAGCAGCTGCAGCTTACTCCCCCACATTGGGAAAATATGATGATTGACTCTATCATTATATTCATATATAGTACGTGGGGCTGATTTAGTGACATGAGGGCATGGCCGTGTCCCCCCTAATGCCCGAGAGTGTCCCAGCAGTTGAGCACCTGAGAGGAGGCAGCTCTGGGGTGGCAGAAATCAAGACTACAAACCTTTCAGCGTAGAGCTGACGGGAAGCCCTCTGTCCCCGAGGCTCCCTGTCCTCCCGGCCACCCTGCTGCCAGGCACTCGGGCACTGGGTCTGGGGGCCTCTGTGCCCCTCCAGCTTTCCACGTGTCTGACTCCGGTCCCCCTTCCCCTTGCAGCGCTGCCCACAAGATGCCTCCCACACAGCTCTGCCGAGACTAATTCATCCTCTGCCGGAACTCCTACTGCAAGCTTCCCTTTCCACAGAATGAGTGGCTGAAATCACTTTTAACATTTCACAAAGCAAACAATCTAAGGAAGACAGGGGAGCGGGGGCCGGTGGAGAAAAACATCAAATATATCAGAGAACAACCTTGATAAAGGTTGTTTTTTTTTTAAATAAAATTTCAGGGCTCCCTGTAATTTTCACATCAGGCATCGTCTTTCTCTTCTGGGAGTTAAGTGAATGGAAGGAGGGCTTCTCTGCAACCAGCCTCCCCAGCAGACTGCCGCAGTGCCCTACAGAGGCGGCCTGGCACTGCTGAAAAGCTTCACATAAGGGAACGCGCTGGGCACAGGTTGTGGTCATCCCCACCCCCATGCTCCAATTCTTGCCCACCATTGCCTGGGCTCTAGAAGCCAGAAGCCCAAGCCTACTTTCCCAGTCCCTCCTGGAGCCATGGTAGCCGTTGCCACAACTGGGATTCTGCCAAGGGCGTCTCCTTGCTTTGCAGATAAAAGAAACCCTCTATCACCCACACCACCCCTTCTGCTTCTTCCTTCCCTGGATGGAAATAATGATGTCTGGAGCTTGAGCACCCAATCTGCAACCACGAGGTGATGAACAGAAAGCGAAGGCCAAGAGAACCAGGAGATGCCAATTCAGGGCCCTATTCCAGTCTAGTCCCTGCCAGTGGGACGTTTCCTAAGGGAGAAGCAACCTCCTCCCATTTGGTTGCGTTGCCTAATTCAGAGTTTTAGTTACTTGGCAACTGAAAGTAATACCAACTGATTCAACAGCTTACCTTTAAAAAAAAAATTTATATATATATATATATATATATATATATATATATATCAGGATCCCTCCACTAATTCAAAACTATTCTATTCTAACACAGTTTAAAGTAGGTTCCAATCATTCAAACAAACAAAATATAATTTGTATTATGTGCCTCAATGTCCCCTGCCAGTTCAGAAGACTCAGAACTATATGTCTCTATGGGCCAGAGTGATAGATAGCACAGTGGTTAGGGCGCTTGCCTTACATGTAGCCAATCCAGGTTTGAGCCCTGGGATTCCATATGGTCCCCTGAATACTGCCAGGAGAGATCCCTGAGCACAGAGCTAGGAATAAGCCCTGAGCACTAACAGGTGTGGCCCCCAACCCCCCTCCCCCAGAAAAAATCCAAAACAAACAAACTATGTCTTCTGTTTTGTAAGTTTAACCATCCACTTACTGTTCAAGTTCCATCCTGAGGGTGCCATCTCTGTATTCTTACTCTAGGGTACTATGCAGTCCTAGATTTCACCTTCTGGTTAAATCTCCCCACCTACCCTTCCCAAGTCTAAATTATACATGCTTGGACCAGTGCAATAGCCATCCATGCTTGTTTGTATCAGAAATATATAAAACATAAACTTGACCATGTCATTTCCTACCTATGAATTCTTTAATGATTTCCTGCGGCTTCCAAGATAAATTTTAAATTATTATTTTGCAATCCTGGGGATCAAACCCAGACCTCATCCATGCAAGGCAAGTGCTCTGGAGTTTATCAACATCCTGAAGTATGAATTCTTGAAGACCTTAAAGGCCTTGGCTGAACTTCTCCATAACTACACCTGCAGTTTCTCAGCCACATCTGTATCTTTGCTCTTGGCTCTGGTTCAGCTACACTCTTGCAACTTCTCTCAGACTCCAAGACAGTTCTGTTCTAGAGCCAATATATGTGGTGTCCCTTATTTGGGGGTAAGGGCTCTCTTCCAGCCTTATAACCCATTAACCACTTAACCCTTATTTTGGACAGCCCAGACAGAACTTTTCCTTTTCAGGGGCTGGAACGACAGTACAACAGGTAAGGTCCTGCATTGCATTGGTCAACCTGGGTCTAATCCCAGGCACCCCATTATGGTCTAGGAGCCAGGAGTAAGCCCTGAGCACCACTGGGTATGCCTCTACCTACCTCCCTGTCCCTCCCACACACATACATGCAAAGAACTTTTCCATTCCAGATATACTGTGCTTTTCTGTTTAAGATTTCTAGCCCCCTCAATAGCTTCTTCTGAGCTGTATCTTTCTCTTTTGGGAGTCCTCATCTATTCACTCATTATGACCAACTTTTCCTTTAAGTCCTATTTACATACTAGATGTCTCTGGCTTTATCTTCCAATTACAACATCTGGGTCATCCGAGGGTCTATTTCTATTAGGGTACTTATTATTTTTCTTGATTATGGGTCACACTGGCCTGCTTCTTCACAAGTCTAGTAATTAACTATTACAGGTTGGGTTCAGATAAGCCCAACCTTGCTGTTGTCTAGATTATCTTCTCTCCCATTTAGTGGCTAACTTATGTTCTAGAAGTTTCTTTTCAGTCAGTGATGCTTGCTTTTATTAATGTTTTCAGGAGGATAAGTCTCCCTTGATTTTATAATTAGTCCTAGAGTGTCATAATACTTGACACTCTGGGGAGCTCTCAACTGTATTCTGTCAGCTCAGCCATAACTCCAGGTCTCCCAAAGCCAGGCAGCCCCTGGCATCTCTGTTCTGCCAAGTCCTGCCGCCATCCAGCTGGCTCTGGCCGTGTGGAGGCTGGCCCTGAGCCGATGTGGCCTCACCAGGCCCCGCAGGGAACACAGGTTTCTCCCACCCCATCCACTCCCACGCAGCTCCTTCTTCCCCTGATTTTCAGGGCAAATCAAGTGCTGACCTCCAAAGAGCGCTTTCACAGTGAATCTGCACAGGAGTTCAGCAAGAACCAGGCAAGTCACCATGGCAACTAACCATTTCTGCTGAACAGTCGAAAATTCACAGCTGACAATTTAAAACATAATGCCCCTCAGTTAGGTTATTACATTTCCAACTAAAGGCAGAGGTCAAAACAAAAATCGCTAATTAGGTGGCCTTTGGGACAATGTCCATTATGGAGTCTAGTGATGGTCCTGGGAGTCACATGGGGTTCCTTCTGTTAATGCAATGGAGACTCTGACCGTCAGCCAGGAGGCTGCGACAGCCGGGATGGGACACATAGCTGTATTCTCAGCTCTGCTCGTCTTCTTCCAACTCCCAAGACCACTGTGTGCTTAAAAGGAGCAAGGCACTGTGTGAACAAGTACTAATGAGTGGCTTTCCAAACCCATATGCTAGTCTCTGCTCCATTCTGAATAAATTAGGATAGAAAAAACCACCTCATTTATGACATGTCTTCTGAGTGAGAAAACGGATATCTTATTTCCAGATGGCATTGACGTTGGGAACTAGTGTACCGAGGTTCTAATTAAGCCACGTTTGGTAGCGATCAGAGGTTATTTCTTGTGCTTTCTCAGGACTAGATCTAACCTGAAATCCATTTCTGCATAGGCCCACCTCTAACGGAGTCATGCAGAGACCTAGGAAGGGTGCGGTCAACCTTCCTACAAAAATCCCACATAGAATGCTGCCAGGGGCCCTTCCCAGAGCCTTGACCTTTCACGAGCCTGCTCATGGTCAGGCTTACCCTAAATGAAGACAGAAATGACTAAATGGCTGTATGAAGTGTTTCTGATTTGCCGTAACCATTTCTCTTTAGAGTTCTTGTGAATGACCCCTTAATTTAATATCCTGTAATCTGTTCAGCTCAAAAGGCGCAAAATCATACAGCTCAGAATTACACAGAGTGGTTCTGCCATACGTAGAACAGATGGGTGATTCTGTCCAGACTATTGGTGATTTAGTGGGCAACCTCCCAGCCCCCACCCCACCCATAGCTGGCCATGCCTTGGTTCTCCAAGGAGAAAGAGGCAGAAGGCACCATGAAGACCACATGACCTGCCCTCTCCTCCCCAGATAAGGAAACTGAGGGACTCAAAACAGTGTACATTCCTTCAGCTAGAGCCACAACAAGTGTTAAAATGCAGGTTTTTGGTTCCTGACCTTGTTAACTTTTACTCTGACCCTTCCTTGCAGAGACCACCACCTTTTCATTCTATTTATTTTGGTTTGGGGGCCACACCTGACAGTGCTCAGGGGTGACTCCTGACTCTGAACTCAGGGACCACTTCTGGTGATACTTGGGGGAACCACTTGGGGTGCTGGAGATTGAATCCAGTCGGCCACACGCAAGACGAATGCCCTACACACTGTACCACTGCTCCAGCCCCTTTTCATTTATTTTTAAATCTTATTTTATTTTTTATTTCCACTCTTTACAGATGGTATTCTCCCGACTCTGAAAAGTCATCTACCTTCCTGGAGGTCTTCTGAGAACACAGATGAAGACCCTTCTTTCCCTTCAAGTTCTATTCCTGGCACAATCACAGATAAAGCCAAATGCTGTCTGATCTCTGTAGAAGGTCAATGATTGAGCAGTTTTAAAGGTCAGCAAACACTGGCCTCAAATAATCTCCCAGGCCATCCTTGACTTACAAGTGGGAGATTCAGCCAATCTCCCTCTAGGTGCCAGAGGCCGAGACTCCTGTTTCCTGCCGGTCCACCAGGTCCGGGAGCCCTCCTGGAGTGGCTCTGCAAACCCCCTAAACACTCCAGCGTGCTTGTCAGTACTTCTGGGGAGGCTCTGCTGACACTCACCTTGGCGTACGCAGTCGTCTTAAGGAACCACTGTCTGAGGTACTTCTGCTCCACCTTCGAGCCCGAGCGCCATGAACGGCCCTGCTCATCCACCTGCTCATTGGCAAGGACGGTTTGATCCACTGGGTCCCAGTTCACTAAGGCCTGTTAGAATTCACCAAAGAAAACAATGCAGCTGGTGAAGACACGTGTATCAGGATCACGTCAGGGGGTTCTTACGTGTGAGAGGGCCTGCAAACGTGGAGTCTGCTCCAGGCAGTTCCTTGGACAAGCAGAACAGAAACCATGAGCTGCCTCGATGCTTTTGCCTTACGAAAGCAGGTCTGCAGCCTGGAAGCAAGTGCCTAAACAACCTGGGATCCTCTTCGTAGAAGCGAATGAACTTATAGCATTGGATGCTTGAGTAAATAGAGGAAATGAAAAGAAAATGGTTCTAGGATTGAACAGAATTAGGGATCTTTTAGGGGAACGGACAGGTCAGTAACATTTACAGAGTGAAAATGACCAGGTGGTGGCAAATGCTTCACTAATGCCGGCTCTTTCGAGCCTCACAAGCTTTGGAAGTGAATACTATTATCCCCACATCGCAGAGAAGGTACCTGAGGAACAGAGAGATGAAATAATTTGGCCTAAATTCACACAATCACAAAATCTTGGGTGGCAGAGTCAAGCCTTTAGGGACTGGAAAAAAATATAGCACTACAGCAACAACTGTCCTCCCGTTGTTCATCAGTTTGCTCGAGCGGGCACCAGTAACGTCTCACAACAAATTGTGAGACTTGTTGTTACTGTTTTTGGCATATCAAATACGTCATGGATAGCTTGCCAGGCTTTGCCGTGTGGGCGAGATACTCTCGGTAGCTTGCCGGGCTCTCTGAGAGGGCTGGAGGAATCGAACCTGGGTCGGCTGTGTGCAAGGCAAATGCCCTACCCGCTGTGCTATCGTTCCAGCCCGGAAAAAAATGTGGTGGGCATAAATCTCTGTCCCCATCCATGAATTTAGACATAGGTGCACACTCATAAATCAGGTAAAGACTAGGGCATTTCCGGGTGGGAACGACACGCATTGAACCATACCCATGCTCCCCAAAACCTCACTGCCAGTCCTCCCCCAAACCCTGAATCCATAAATATACAGAGACAAAACAGAGTATGAAAGTACCTCAGACTTTAAAACTCCCTTGGGCAATAAACCAAGAGTTTGTCCCATCTCCTACTACCACCCTCATCAGGGGTTCAAGAAAGGGCAACACTTCAAGAGTCAGGCAGGACACAGGGTTGCTGAGCTGTATGGTGAATTCTCTCAAGCAGCAGATCCCCGCTGAAAACAACATGTGTACAACTAACACTGTAGAAAATATTTCTTTTTGGGAGAGTGGGGAGGCATAGCTGGTTGCGCTCAGGGCTTAGTCTTGGCTCTGTGCTCAGGGGGCATTCCTGGCAGACTTGGGGGATCATATGGGATGACAGGGACAGAACCTGGGTCGGCTGTGAGCAAGGCATGCCGTACTACCTGCTGCATTATCTCCCCAGCCCGTACACTATAGAAAATACTTCTAAAGGGAAAGAGAAGAAACCTCCACCTCTGCCTGCTGCCAGCCTCGGAGGCTCTGGGCGGAGCGAGCTCTCAGCCCTGCAGGCTGCAAAGGCGAGCAGGAGCTCATTTCCTTCTCTGCATTTCCCACGCAGCCGGGCATCTCCTGGGCTCTCGGTTACAGAGCTCCACAGGGGAGAGGTCCTCCTTGGAGGTTTGCACGTTATAATAAAGCCCTGATGCCGAATGAAAAACAAATAAAAGCAAACCACAAAGGCAGCCCCCATCCCCACCCCCATTTAAAATCTTGGGAAAGGAGGAGGAAAAAAACACTAAAGGAAATAGCACTTCCAATCGGAGATGCATCTGCCGTGAGAATACTCTCCTCTCCCACAGTTTGAACATGATGGATGCCCCTATTTTTTTTTTAGTCACTGTGAATTATAAAATTATTCAAGATTTGTTTTCAGACGTACAATGTTCCAACACCAATCGCACCACCACTGATGTTCTCTCCCCAGTACCCTCTTTCCCTCTCACCCCCCAGTCTACCTCTATAAAAGGCAATTTTGTTTTGTTTTGATATTGGGGGGGGCACACCTGGCAATGTTCAGGGGTTACTCCTGGCTCTACACTTAGGAATTACTCCTGGTGGTGCTCAGGGGTCATACGGGATGCCAGGGATCAAACCAGCGTCGGCCACGTGCAAGGCAAGTGCCCAACCACTGTACTGTCATTCAGACCTGAAAGGTGCTTTTTAAAAATAACTTTTGACATTGTTTACAGTACCATTGCTAAAAAGGTTTCATTCCTAACACTTCCAGCTCCCCCTCCTACTTCCGGTTGAACATTTCCCTCCGACATTATTCCCTTATGAGTACGACTGATTACACCAACTCCTTCCCACCCATGTTTCCCACAGAGGGCCAGTTCTCTTGTTCTTTGTTTCCACTGTCTTTATTCCTTATTCCTCCACTATGTTATATTCGCACACATGAGAGCAATCATTCTGGGTAGGTCTCTCTCTCTCTCTGACCAACTTCACTTGGCATAATACCCTCCTGATCAAACCATGGAGCAGCAAATTGCAAGATTTTATCTTTTCTTATGACCAAGTAGTACTCCACTGTGCATATATACTATCGTTTCTTTATCTAGTCACCTCTTCTTAGACATCTGGGTTGTTTCCAGATTTTGGCTATTGTGAATAGTGTTGCAGGAAACATTGGGGTGCACGTCTTTTTTTCTTTTCTTTTTTGTGGATGACCCTATTTTTAACCAAACTTCATACAATTTTACTGACTAGACATTTCCAGAATTGACTTACTAGTTCTCTCACACCTATGGGAGCCAACTCCTCTGTTAAGTAGCTTTCTTAGGAAACAGTCTGTGTCTGTATAATCAACAACTTTGTAAATCATGGTGTTTTTAATAAAAAAAAAAGTCTGTGCTTGCATATGAAATCAATCTGAATACTGAAATTATTAACATGCCCTAAACTCTGGGAAGATCTAACTCTCTGCTTTTCTTATGGTAAGTCCCACATCATGGAAGGAGCCATTTCAATCAAAAGAATGTCCCCAGTCCAGCTCAGGCTCAACACTAGGATTAAGATTTCATGTGCTCGAGTCATGTCATCTATGAGAAGCTTTTATTCTATTCTATTATTCAGTTTGTGGGCCTCACTTGGCAGTGCTCAGGGTTTATTCCTGTCTCTGGGCTCAGGGATCACTCCTGGCTCCGCTGAACCCGGGTCAGCCATGTTCAAGGCAAACCCCCTACCCACTGGAGTATCCGGTTGGCCCTGTTCTATTCTTATGAGATGCATTCAGAAGGCGGTTTTGCAATGCACAGCATGACACAATCATAAATCCAGCTGACCCATGTTCTCCAGAGTTGGTTCTGCGCAGACCTGGGGGTAGCCCTTTGTCCTGGTCTCCCCTCTTTCTCAGGCTCTCAGAGGAACAGGCCTGAACCACGAGCAGTGAAGGGCTCGGTGGGAGTTCTTGGGGGCAGGACTCCGCTCTCCTGGAGTCACACAGCTGTGAACTTCACCCTTTCTCCTCTCACCTCATCCTCCCCTCCCTTACCCTCCTCACGGCTCCTCCTCCTCCAGGGCCTTCCAGGGGCCTCCCCTAGCCAGAGGGGGGGCCGTGCATTCTGGATTACAGCTCCCTGGACTGCTCCTGCCTCCTGGCGAACACCTCACTGGCATGTCGAGCGGACTCAGGTCCTGAGGGCTGGTAAAAGTGTGTGTTTCCGGGCATTCATTGATTTTTTTCACAGGGAGTTATTAGCTTTTCTCTTGACAAGAGGATTCTTAATTAAGAAACACCACATATCTTATTAAAGGAGTTAACTCTCAAAATCGATTTCCCTCCACTTCATCCAGATGAAATGGGTCTGGATTTAGGCTCCATTCAGGTGGGGATAGGGTCCTAATAGGTGACTGGGGGTCCCCCCCACCAGGGGGCGGTAGGAGAATGGCTGCAGGTGGGCCCCACAGTGGGCGGCTGCAGAGAAGGACCACACTGCTGGCCTGCTGAGGTGGTCAGTGGGCTCTCTGGACAATGGCAGGAGCCGAATGGGAGGCTCAGCAGCGCTCCTGTGGTCCCTAGACTAAGCCCGAGCCCATGTCGTTCCTCTCCCTACTGCCCACACCCACGAAATCATCTGTTGTTTGAAACAAGAGAGGACAAAGCAACGCCCTTCCGAGAAAACGTTGTTATGGACATACTAATGGCTAAAACTATGTGTTTGTGAGAGTAAGAGCAGATTCCTTTTGAGATGGAAACAAATAGCTTTTTTTTTTTTTAAATAATGTAGGAGCACTGCTAGGAAACAAACATTTTGATGGAAAGTGCTCATTAAGAACAAAAAGACTTTTTCTTTAGAACTTCTGGGGGCGGGGAGAGGGGGCGTTGGGGGACTCACAAACAGTGCTCAAGGGGCCTGGAGAGCCACTCCTGGCAACACTCAGTGAACAGTGTGTGCCTGCTGGGTCAGTGCTCGGGCCCCATGGTGTGGGGGGCCAGCAGGTCTACCCCCAGTGGCAGGCCCGCGGGTGCCAGACACTGCCGGAGCTCTCTCTGCAGTCCAAGACTTAATGCTTTTTCACAGCAGTGTTTAGGAATGTTCTGCTAAAATACTTTTCCCAAATGCTCATTCATACAACAACTGAAAAACTGAACCCAAGGGTTATGGCTATTTATTAAAAAATTCAAAGTCATGACTATGCTATGAGAAGAAAAATAATAATATTATGCAGCCTTGGTAAATTCGATTAACTCCCCAAAGTTAATTTCAACAGTTTACATGGTAAAATAAACCCCAGAAAGAGGATGCTAACCACTATTATGCTCCGTTTTGTGGAAAGGGGCTGCGGGGGAAAGCTTTTAGGGCTACCTCAGCTCTATGGTAGCTGTAGCTACCTCAGGGACTTCTCTCAGTTCTGTGCTGGTTAAGGGTCTCTCCCAGCGGTGCTCAGCGGACCATGTGGTGCCAGAGATCAAACTCCCTGCATGTAAAGCATCGTGTGCTCCAGTCCACTATTCTATCTCTCTGTGTTCCATGTCTTATTTTGTAAAAACTTACTATTGTTGTATAGGTA